GTGTAGTGCAGACTTCAAATGGAGATGTGTGGACAAAAGAGTATAACACGTGAACTTGTTGGATGCCACTGCAGCTTCCATGACAATATTTTTCCCTGTTTATTTTTTCATTTTATTTTCTTCCTTTTTTCTCTCTAATTTTGTTTGTTTAAGGGGATCTGTAGGAGAAGAGGGCAGATGTGAAGGGACAGGAAAGGAATGGGCTCAAGATTCATGATGTGAAAGACACATAATTTTTTTAAGTAAATAAAACATTCTTTCAAAAGGTAAAAAAATGTGTGAACCTTATTGTAGATAATTTAACATCAATTGTTTTACATTATAAAATATCAGCTTTGTTACCAATTGCACGAAGCTGAGACTTATTTTCTCAGCATATTTACATCCTATTAAATGGATATTTCACTTTCCCCTTTGTTCTTCTTAAGCATCCATTTAAAAACTAATACACAGTAAATTTGTTAAGTGACAGACAGGTGGCTGAAATACAAGGTTAACTGTCCATTGGTTTTGCATCATGGCAATAACTATTCTGCTGGAGTGTGCAAATCACCGTTTCAGGGGTCCTTCCTCTGTGAGTAACACACCTCCCTCTATGTCTACCTACTCCCCATGTCTACCCCCTTCTCATATGGACAGATACTGATCCCATTAGATTATAGTTTCACCCTATGATATCATTTATACCTGAGGACATCAATAATTTGAGCAATATAGCACCGACACTTACAGTTTCAGAACTAGCAAATTGGTCTCTTACATTCTTCCTGTGCCTGGTCCACTAATATTATTCACAAGCAGAAGGTACATATTAAATAATACTAGTTTTGTTTTGTTTTTTAATATGCAATGACACTATGTAACTGAATGCATAAGACCAAATTTTGTCTACAAAATTGAGATTACAGTTACCGTCTTCAGCATTTTAGGAGTATCAGTCAGTTCCCTTCCAGTAGGCAACTTTCTAAAAATATTCCTCATGTGCAAATTCTTTCTACAGCTATAACTTTGTAGACATTTTTGAATTTGAATTTGACTGTGGTGTCTTATAATATAACTTCTTACCTGACTTTTCCTACGAAGATTCAACAGACGCCTATTTATCCACAACAGAACAATAACCAACTCCATTCAAGTCTAGTTCAGTGAACCAATGAGTTTATCAGGATTACTTGCAGGGACATGGGTGAGGCTAATTATAAAAGCATGGAGACATAGGGCAGTTTCACCCCTGAAAGCCCACCTGCCATCCAGCCTGGGTGACAACTCATATAAGCTGCATCACTGCAGCTTTCTGAACACCCTGCAGACAATTGAAGAAGTTCCCTCTCTTATCAGCTGTGTACAAGTACTTAACAGTTTGCATGTTTAAGCCATTTCATAACATAAACCAAACAAAAAGGATAAATACTTTATTTAGTATTATTTAGCTAAATAAGCCACATAAGTAATTATTTGCAGGTGGTGGTTATGATTTTGTATCTGCAAAAGACAAGAGAATGAGTTTGGGGCACAAAACTCCTTTCCTACTTTACTAAACAAGTGTTTCTGTGAAGGTTGATGTTAACCGCCATCTTGACAGGATCTAGAAATCACCCAGAAGACAAACCTCTGGGCATGTGTAAGAAAGACATTCTGCCTCAGCTTAGCTGAGGTAGAGAATCTCACTCTCACTGTGAGTCACAACATCCATGATTCTAGTTCCTGACCTCGGAAATGAGAAAACCAGCAAAGCACCAGCATTTATCTCTGCTTCTTGGCTATGGATACAACATGGCTGGTTCCCGTTGCCATGCCTTCCCTGCCATGATGAGGTGTACCCTCAAGCTGTCAGTCAACACAAGTTCTTATTTCTTCTTTAAATTGCTTTGTCAGGTATTTTGTCACAGAGACAAGAAAAATAGCAACACAGATAACGATGTATCCAACAAAAGTCATACCTGAGCTTTTGGTACAAGTTAAACAGTTATCAAGGATTGCAGAAAGAAATGAGGAAGGTTAAATCAAGCACAACGATTTCTCATTTTTTTCTGTGTTTTCCCACCAGATTTCAGCTGTGGCTGTGAGCAGCTTCTTTTCCTAGATACTTCACCTGAATTTGTGGGTGAGCCTCCCTCTGTAGAGATTATTGGTCTAATTAACGTCAAGGAAAGTTGGTTTCTATACGTGAGAAACAGCACTCCACCATTGTGAGTGGACAAGTGACCTGTAAATTAATAATATAGCATCTTCCTTTGGTGGATGCCTGTGACTCAATTCTCATTTGAAATCATCTGTTTCTACAATTATCTCCAAAAAAAAAACACTGAAAATACATTCATTTTTTTAATTTATAGGTTTAAAAAGCTTTATTGAAGATAAAATCCAGGCCAAACATAAACACAGCAGCCTGAAGATACTTTTGTGTCAAAATAAGCATTGTAGAAAGAATCTTAAAATTTCTAAAAATTCTCGATGGTCTTTTACTAAGGGTTGCACAGCACAAGGCATGTCACCACTCAGACATGCTAAACAATCTAAGCTTCCCAGACACCCACAGCTAAACTTTGAACTGAACTGAAATCCAGTTGCAGAGAAGGAGGACTGATGAGCAAAGGGGTCCATACCAGGCTGGTGAAACCCTCAGAAACAGCTGACCTGAACAAGGGAGAGCTCTTGGTCCCAAGACTCATGCAAAACCAGCATGAAACTGATCCAGATCTCCTGAATGTGGGTGTCAGTGAGGAGACCTTAGAAATCTATGGGGCCTCTTGTAGTGGATCCGAACTTATCCATAGCATAGGAATGGACTTTGGGAGCCCATCCCACATGAAGGGATACTCCCTGAGCCTAGACACAGGGGGTTGGCCTAAGCTCTATCCCAAAGAATATTAAGACCCCTATGGAAGGCCTCACCCTCCCTGGGGAGCAGAAAGGGTATGGGATAAGTTGGGTGTTAGTTGGGGGAGCAGAGGAGGAGGGGGGGAGAGGGACCTGGGATTGACATGTAAAATAATTTTCTTTCGCCTAAGCTCTATCCCAAAGAATATTAAGACCCCTATGGAAGGCCTCACCCTCCCTGGGGAGCAGAAAGGGTATGGGATAAGTTGGGTGTTAGTTGGGGGAGCAGAGGAGGAGGGGGGGAGAGGGACCTGGGATTGACATGTAAAATAATTTTCTTTCTAGTAAAAAATTAATTATCCCTTCATTATAAAAGTACAACTCCTTTTTTCTAGTGGAAAAAATCTACTTGTGTGTGGGTTTTTTTGTATATCAAATAAAAAAACATGTTCAGCAGTTAAAACAAAAAACAAAACAATCTAAGCTTCCCTCCTCTGACCCAAATTATTTTAAATAATTCACTTTTTTGAATAAGTTTGTGTATATTTCACCTACACTTCTATACTAATAATATACCTATACAACAAACTTTGTGTTAATTAAATGTTAGCTGCTTCTATATTAGTCTAAATTTTCATGCCTATGCTAACTTGTTTTTTTGCCACCTGAGAAAAATTCAGGTACAAGATTACATAAAATAAAATACTACTACCAAATTCCTACTGTGATACCATAGGCACATTTGGCTTTTATGAGCATAATTATAAACTAAAACGTATTATGTTACATACATAAAAACTAAATAGAAAAATGCAATGCATTTCTCAGTGATAAACATGTTTCAAGAATTCTTGATTTCTAAGTTAAATAATAAAGATAGAAAACAGGATAAACTCAAAGTATTTTATTTTTCAACTGGTGTGTGTGTGTGGCTGGGTGGGTGGGTGTATGTGTCGGGGGTGGTGTTTGCAGCTCACAGCTCTACTGGTACATGTGTATAAAGATGACAGGAAAATTTTGGAATCAATTCCATCCTCAGAACCATTAAAAGTGGAAGGAAATAGAGGAAATAATTTGAAAGGTAGAAGTGAATAGTCACTGGTTCAGAATTTCTTTTTTAAGTTTTTTAAATTCCAAAAAATGAATTAAGAATATCTTATGTCTGAGTCTATATTTTATACTTTATTATATGACATTTTTAGAGAATAAAGATTATTCATATATTGACAGAATTACACTTTTCCTTTTTAGTGCCTCACTACAGATATGTATCTCACATGTTATTCATTGACCATTTTTAAATCTTTAAAAGTTTAGTGACTGACAAAAATAGTGATGGCAGTTCTTATATTTAAGTGGTTCAAATTTATGTCTTTGTGTAACAATAAGCGTGCTTGCATCTTGTCTGCAGCACTGCAATGTGCACCTAATCTACACAAAATCTTCTAAATCCAAAATGTCACATACATCTGAATCATTTTATGCATAAGAGACTTCCATATTTGATACCCACACCCATAGCAGACTCTATTCCCTTTGGGTTCTGCTGATGAACAGATATGGGGACTACAGCCTGCAGGCTTTCTTTCTCTCCTCACAGCTCTCATAAGAGCCCTTGGATTAGACCTTCAGTAACACCCTGGAAGAGGTGCTGTCCAAACAAGTAGCATCACATACTAATATTCTTAGGTATATCCTTTTTCCAGGAATATCATTCTGTCCTACCTACTCAGCCAGAAATACAGAAAAACATAATGTTCCTGTCTAGTAAGTTAGATGGTGTCAGCTAATCTCAGGTACACACATCATGGTGCAATGCTTTCCCCACTCCTTACTTGCTTAGAAGGGAAAAAAATTAACTCTGTTCTTCTGAGATGGTTGCTAGCCACATTGTGGCCTTGTTTGCAGTGTTTCCTATATTAATAGATACCTCTATCCTAGCTGCATCTCTAACAAACCCTCTAACAAATCCCTAAAAGAGGATTTCCACCCTGGTCATTCTTGTTTTATGTTTTTTATATGTTTTTCCATTCATTTATTTAGCTCATAAATAAAGTCATGCACAATTATGATATATAATACAGTATGTTCACAATGGCATGGCTAAATTAAACCAATTAACATGACCCCCTGGTCATTCATGACACATGACAACTATCAACCGATTTTTTCTAAAATAATTAGCTGATCCCCCATATGCCTTTGAGCCTGCACTTCATCCACCTCAGCACAGAAAGCAAAGACTGACTCAGTTTCCTGTTCTCTAGAATCAGGAGACAAGAATGGGCCGAGGGAAAAGCCATCCCCATTGATTGTGAAAACAAAGCTATGAGATCTTTATGCTTAAAGTCAACATTCCAACATAGTGAGAGAAGAGACAGAAAGAAAACCGTATACAGTAACAGGAAGGCAACCACGGATCGTAAGGCCTTTACATGGGCTGTGATGCTGACATCTCTGGAGCCCTTGGCATGGAGCTGCATGTTCTTCAGATGTCTCCACAGGGAGAAGATGAGCAGGAGAAACATTGCCAGGGTCACAGTGAAGGGAATGAGTGTGAACATGGTGTTAACAAGTAAAACAAGTCTAGAAAACTGAGCAGAGTTACTTGAGATAGTCCTATAGGACATATTTGCTCCATGTCCGTCAATCCAAACATCAATACATCTGTTTATTACCAATATGTTCAAAAACAAGATGAGAAAAGACACCAGCAATGTCAATGATACCACGTTTTTTACTCTCCACTTCAGATATAGAAAAATAGAGTTTGAAAAATTAGCGATCTTGAGAAAATAAAAGATGCTGAGGCATGTAGCAAGCCAGATGCTGAAATGATTGGTCACTGTCCAGAAAATTTTGATAATCATCATCAATTTTCCAGATATCATTAAAGCTGTGTAGATGGATGAAACCAATAAGCTTGTAAGTAATGACCAGAACAGAGTGATTCTGGAGATGGCCAGACCAGTGAGAATCTGATCCACTGAAGAGATCTTTCCTCTCTTGACCAAGTCCATAATGTTCACCAGTGCCATGAACGCATTTCCTAAATTTCCTATTATGAATTCCACAATTAAAATAAATGTTGATATGGCGTGTAGGATATGACTCATTGTCACTCGAAGGATGCTTCTGTTCATAGACACTGATGTGGATGCGTTCATTAATCAGTCTTCTAAAATGCTATGAAATCCTTGAACCCTCAAAGCATTCATTGTCATGAGCACCTATACACAGTTTCAATCAAATAAAGATTCACTAATAATTTGGTCCATAGTTTTCTGCACAAAATTTTACAATTTCTGAGGCAGCTAGGTTAGACTTTGTGCATATATTATGTGCCTTACACGGGGCACCCTGAAGTCTTTTTTGTAGCTGTATGGAAGAAACATTGAATTTTCATGTGCTGTCATCAAAATAAAGATATACTTATATGTATTGTTCTTGCTAATTTTTCTTTATACATACTTTAGTCCGGATATCTTATTTCTGGATCAAGTAATGTTAGGGAATTGGAACTCATAGCCAGACAACAAATCCAGATTGACATATAGAAGAAAAACAATATTAAATTCATCAAAATGATGTTTGTCCAGGGAACTATGAATGCTTCCTAAGGTTCCTACAGCAAGCTATCTGAGTTGCTGAAAAGTCTCATAGCTACCATTTGTCCCTCAGATATACTGTACTAACAATAATAACCATCTTACTTTTTCAGGGTCATGCATGCACACACAGGGATACCCACCAGTAGAGAAACATAGAAATGCCATTGACTTGCCGTTTCAATAAGTGTTTTAACATTAGTGTTTTTGATCTTATAACTCGTGATTATACTGCTGTAGTTGTCAAGATGCTGTATAAAATAGTTTCAATGTAATAAAAACATAAATATTCTCTAAAGTTGTGATTCTTTCATCTCTGTATATGAGCAGATTTGGAGATTGTCCTATCATGCTACCAAACAAAAAAATTTCAATGAATTTATATACACACCAAGTATCTTTCCCATTTGCTGTATCTCCCTTTGTTAGCACATTTACCACCTTTAGCTCCTAGGACCTTCAGATATAACCATCTCTCTCCTCTTTGCACCAGTGTCTGCTCCATTACCAACATCACATGCATGGAGGATGATGCATGACCTAGAGAAGCAGGAAATGAAGCATTAAAATCCTTTAGGAGCTAAGGGTCGTCAGAGAATCAACGACTCAAAGCAAATAGAAACAATGAAGACAACAGAAAAACGGGTGTCAAAGGCAACAGTAAAATTGGTGTGGTGGTGGATAGTGGTAACTGCAGCCTAGCAGTGGAGAGATGGATGCAGGAGGATAACTAACCCAAAACAGGCCTGGGATATAAATAAGACACAGTTTAAAACAAAACCTTTATAATTTACAGGCAGGACATGAGGTATTCCAGTGTGGGGAATGGAGCACAGCCTCATTCCCCTGGAACTAATGCCAAACAATTAAAGAACAGTTAAAGAGCAATTAAAGACAATTAAAGAACTGGGAAAATAAAGTACATAATGATGTGAAAACTTTTAAGGGAAGATACTACAAACAGAAGCATGAGCATACCATCATTGCAGACACAGAAATGTCCTCTGACCTGGCTCCTTCCATACAACGAAAAAGAGAAAGGAGTCGAAGGAAAATGCAAAACTCTGTAGGGGTGGGGCAGTGTGGAGAGGGTGCTACTACTGGGGAACTACAATGTCTTTTTAAAGGTGGCAGAACTTGTGTTCACCAGGAGGTAACAACATGTACCACCCTAATGAGCATCCCTGAGCTCCTCCTCTACATCTTCTGGTCTGCATGAGAAATACTTAGGGTTCCACCGGAACAGCAGTTCCTAAGACTGCCAGACTTATCCAGACAAGATGACAATGGCACCAAGAACAGCTCCCACAGATTTCATCTCTAGAGCAACATGATAGATTATTTCCTGAGAAAAGAAGAGACTATAAAGTTGGGTGAATAGAGGGTATTGGGGGGGACGAGAAGAATTGGAGAGAGGTGAAAATGATCAAAATATGCTGTATTGAATGTTCAAAGAACTACCAAATAAACTTAAAGAGTCCTAATGACTTGTTGCTTTATCCAGAGATCACATCATACTCCAGCCCCATCGGAGAAGCTGCTCCTTGCAGTAAATGGCAATGAATACAGAGACCCTCACCTGCCAATGTGTACAGAACAAAAGACTGTGGCATTCTCAGCTCTAAATTATTAAACACTAGGAACACAGTCTTCCCCTCAAGCCTCAAGGATTTTCACGGGAGGGGACAAGGAAAGATTGTAAGAGACAGAAATAGAGAATAACAGCAAAAAATAAACCTGATAGGTCAGGACAGTTGCACACATGAACTCACAGCAATTTTAACTACTTGCACAAAATCTGAACAAGTTCAAGCCACACAAGATCCCAACACCGAGGGAGTAAGGTAGCCACAAGATACTACCTCTAACTGAGAAGCTGCAGGCATTGATGCCTGCTGGAAGAAGAGTCAGTAGTATCTTTTGTGTCGCTGATGGGTTAACTACACACACAGGGGCAGGCCCCATCCCACACTACAACAAAAAGTGGACTCTGTGTGCGGGTAAAGAGAAATCACAGGAACTCAAAGCTCTGGTGCCAAAATAGAGGAGAGTGGAGAGGACGGTTATGGGCGCAGTTGGGAAAGTGAGCTAACATGTACAATATACATTGCATGAAATTTTCAAAGAATTAATAAAAATATTCTTAAAAGAAACAAAGAAAAGACAAAACCAAAATTTCCTCTATGTCATCAGAGCAAATTGTTATCTCTCCTTTATAGGTTGAGAGATGAAAGATTGGAGAACTTAGCCATCTTGAACAAACAAAGCAAGCCAAGCACACCAGATGCTACAAGGGTCACTTCCACCACAGGCTACAAGGACATGCTTCTTTGCTTGTTCATTATTTGAACCTAGATGAACTACAGTTGAATACAGTGTGTTAACTTGTCCTAAGGAAACAATTCTGGACACAGCCCAAGGAGTAAGAATTCTATCACCAGGGACATCTTTTTGTATCAGTAATACCAAAGTCATTTTTGAATGCTGTAAAGTCATTGGTAGATTTTCCCAAACCAAATTCTCCCAGTAACTGCATGGAAAATATGCTCAGTAGTAACCTTGAGTCAGGGGGAAAGTATGAACTAAGACTATATTACTCATCATAATTAATAAACTCCTGACATCATGTTTTAGCAATACCCAGTTTCTGGGTGGGCAGTGAAATCCTATTGTCTTTTTATATTTTTTTTTCAATTACCTTTGAGGTTTTAGTATATTTACAGCATTTCTCCTTCCCTTTTCCTCTCTCTGAACTCTCCCATATACTTCTCCTTGTTCTCTTTTAAGTACATGACATGTTTTCTTCACATTTTTGTTACACACATACACACACACACACACACACACACACACACACACACACACACACCAAGACATTTCAGTCTGAATAATGTTCTATTGACTTTTTCATACTGTGGACTATGTTAAGAAGGAAAGCAACAATAACTAAGACAAACCACAAGTTCAAGGCTGGTTTCATAGAAAAAAAAGATTATCCCCAAACATCTCTAACCACGCACTGTACACCCTCACCACAAGCTCCACTCTGCTAGTGCTGAGGTCAAGCTGATTTCTCATTTACTAGCATGCAAATGAAAACGTACTCTCTTTCACTATTTTGCAAGCATTTCCCCTTGTCTAGCCTCTATGAAATTTGAGTTCATGAAATGTGAATGTCAGGCAGCAAAGTAAAAGTTTTAAAGTTACAAAGTTAAAAAAAGTAATGAGTATAGGCCAGGTGGTGGTGGAACATGCCTTTAATCACAGCACTTGGGAGGCCTCAGCCAGATCTATGTGAATCCTTTAGAGGTCAGCCTGGTCTATGGAGCAAGTGCCAGGACAAGTTCCAAAGCTACACAGAGAAACCCTGTCTCAAAAAAACCAAAAAACCAAAAAAAAGAGAAAGAAAATGTGGTGAATGCAGGGATTGGTGAGCTTCAGTCCTCAGGAGTTATCATGAATGGTTCTTTAATGTCGGTTTATTTCAGTAGATAAATTGTATTCTGGTAGAAGAGTTTTTCCTTTCTGAGGTGTCTTGTCTCTGGGATCTCCTTGGAAAATTCCTCTTCTCTACAATTATCTGCTGATAATTGATGTCTTATAGCCTCATCATATACAGTCAAGAAGCACACACACACACACACACACACACACACACACACACACACACACAAAACCAATCCAAAGCTGAGAACAAGACACTATTCAAGGAAAACATAGCTATAACCACTGAGCTAGAATTCTACTGTTTATGTCTGACAATAAATCTAGTCTGTTGAAGTGAAAGCTATTAACAGAGAGGCATTTTGCTAGTATTGTGTGCAAAATTATTTGTAGTGTTAAAAATGCCTGTTGAATGCTGTGCTTTCTGGCCCACCAGTATCATTGGGCAGGCTGCCATCTTGATGGTAAAAATGTGCAATTTCTCTGATATTTGTGCTTTTAGTGAAAATCTTGCTGTGTGCTTCTATTTTTATTGCCCTGTGAATTGTATTGTGTCTGAAATGTTACCATTACACTATTTGTATTGCACCTTTGGTTGATATTTACTCTACTTATTTTCACCAAGAAATTTATACTTTGTCCCTTATCTAATTTATCTTTTATCCTGAACTTCATCGTTGACTGTTAGTATTTCACATTCATCGGTCCCATCTCTAAAAATTCATTCAACTGGGAATATTTTACAGCTAAGAGCCATTTCTCTCAGCATTGAATATATACATATTTTCTTTTCTTATTGTTTCCTAAGCAACAGAATAATAAGCAACTACTCCCTGCAGAATATTCCTGTTTCCCAGTTCTGTCCTTTAACATCTTTTCAATAAATGAATTCATTCATACAATATTCAAAAATAGGCTGAAATTTTCAAATATCAATGAGCCACATATAAGCACTATAACATCTTTCTCCAAGTAGCTCCCTATTACATGTGTCTACATTTTATAGTGTGTGGCCCCATCAAATTGTCTCTGAAAGACATATAGAAAATATACTCATCATTTTT